ACGTGGCTTCTCCAGCACCCAGGGCTGCATCAGGGTAGGTCCATGTGGCTTCTCCTCAGGGATGTCTTGCAGGAGGTGAGCCTTGCCAACTGAGGCAGAGAACTAGCTAAGGCAAGTGCACACTGGTCCAACAATCAGAGAGCAAGAGACAAGAAAGGTGAGGCTCACTGAGTCATTTATCTCTCCGCCCTTCAATTAAACTGTCCTTCAATTAATCCCACCTGTGTTCATTGGTCAGGTTGCACGATAAACCTATCATACCTCCTTCAGAAGTATATGGATGTAGGTAGCAAATATGTTGATAAGCAAAAGCTTCACATTTTGATACTTAAGTTTAATACAGATTTCTATGATTTTATAACAATCCTTGTTGATTTACCCACGTATTTCCTATGAACAAGGATATAACCCATAGAACCACGATACAGCTATCAAAATTACCGTACATACTCGAGTACAAGCCTACCCGAGTATCAGCTGAGGCCCCTAATTTTACCACAAAAACTGCATAAAAAGGTGCTGAAAAACTCGGCTTATACACAAGTATATGCGGTACTCATAATTATATTCCATTCAAGGCTTACTCATGATCACAATAATACTTTTTATGGCAAAGTATCCAGTTCAGAATTGTACATTGCATTTAGCTGTCTTGTCTCTTCAGTCTCCTTCAATCTAATACATTTCCTCAATCTCTGACTTTTATGACCTTGACACCTTTGAAAACTACAGGCCAATTGTTTTATAATTAATAAGTATTAATAAATACTTTGAAACTATGCAAATCAATTTCATTCTTCATCAACATTTTTCTTTACTCTTTTTTTATTGTTTATTATTACTCATTGCTTATGTTTATTCACATTGTTTCCAGTTTCATTAGAAGTTCCTTTAAACTGGATTCTGGGTCCTTTTTACAGGCCCTCAACATTCCTTAATGACTTAGTTTTGGCTCAATGTCTTTTTCAAGTTCATTTTGTATTTCTTGTGTCCCAACTTATTCTCCAAGGATCTCTGGTGCTAACATCTCAGAGGTTGGCTTCCAGGGTCATCTGCCCAGATAGAGCTACCCTGGAACGCAGACCAAAAGTCCCAGCATGGAGGAAGCTGAAGGGTTAGAGAGAGAGAAGTTCCCAGTCTCTCTCTTATTAAAAGGCCCCACCCCATGAGAACATCATCAGACTATGACCCGATTGATAGGTTGGACTCCACCCTTATACTTTCACACAGCTGCAAGTTGAAATAAAATCTACCACAATGCTAGATGTGCTTTCTGCTAGTGAGGCATAAATGTTTCCAAACCTTCTCAGGGGACAGAGGGAGAGTATACATGTATATTCAAACCAACATACACATTTACATCTATATTGTATGAACGTATGCACATTTACCTACGTTTATTTTTCTACTGATCTCCTTTATATTGAAGACCACAAGTTCACACTGATACCTCTACTTCTAATGCAACACGGAACACATGTTCTTTTTCTCTCTTTATTTGTACCTCCATTCTCTGACTGTGGGAACCCGGCTCCCATGACCTACAATTTATTACAATAGTTGTTATTGTTGTTGTTGTGTGCCTTGATTCTGACTCACAGTGACACCATGTATCAGAGGACAAATGCCCCACATAAGGTTTCTAGGCTTTGAGGAAGATAGAACTGTCCGGCAAGGTGGGTGGTGGGAGAGGAAATAGATGTGATCTACAAGTATCTTAGACAATTGTCCAACCAGTTCTCCAGTTGTCAGGCCTGCCAGCGAGCCCACCTTTGGAGGAGCCTGGAGGGCCGCAGTTAAAACCACCAACAGTTCCGCCAGAGAAAGACGGGGCTTTCCACTCCCGGAAAGAGTTACAGCCTCAGAAACTCACAGAGGCAGTTCTACCCTGTCCCACAGGGACGCATCGAGTCATCATCAACTCAATGGCAGTGAGTGAGTTGTCTTTGACCCCTGAGTCTATCTGGGATTCTAAGACAACTGGTTTGTTTTCTCAACGACTTGCTTACTCTCTGACTGGTTTGGGTTTCTGCCTTCTCTGAATACGTTTTCCCCCCTCTCATTTACTGTGGCTAGGAGCCCTGGTGGCATCAGGGTTACGCAGTGGGCAGCGGTTCAAAATCTATTCAATGGCAGGGAGTTTTTGGAGTACTCCTCCTTTAGTCTTTGGGGGTCGCTGTCATTTACAGTTTGTTTGCTCTATGTCTTGTGTGAGAAGTAAAGATAAAGGGGAGGGTTCCATCTGCCTGGTTTAACTGGGCAACAAGGAATTTTCCATTTATGTTATTGGTCAATATCCCTCGAGGAGAAATTACCTCTAATGTGTTGCATGATCAGACATCCAAGGGAAAATGTCCAGTAATTGTGTAAATGCAAGATTCTTTCCGTCTTCTTTTCTCCCTGTCCCTCAAGAGAAGGACAAAGGTGACTCTCATATGAGTTTATACATCCTGGCTTGGTACTTGGGCACTGTTGACTCCCCAAGGAGAGCTGGCCTGGAATGCCGATCAATCTTCAATCTTAACCAGCTCTGAGTTTCAAACCTAACCATTCCCTGCAGGGTTGTGGCTTAGAGCGATGAATTTAGATAAGGCCAAGGTTTATTGTTGTTTATTGCCTTACAATAAGTGCTGTTTGCTTGTGGTAATTGTTTTACAAAAGCTTTTGAGTCACTAATAAATAACCCCCCAGAGGTCATTTGTTAAACAGGTCAGGTACCCTAAGGCTTGATGAGAATTTTTTGTTTCTAGTTGAAGAACTCTAGTCTTTGCCCAGTTTCTGAGAATATGTCCTTTGAGATAGCCTAGAAAATTTCAAAGATAGTCTGGTTACTTCTTAAAAATTATTTCCTGCTACCTCTTATTGCCATAATTAAACTAATTGCTGCATGTGGCAAATATTCTAGACAGTAAAAATCATGCTGATAATTACCTGAGTCAAGGAATGGAGATGAGTCATAAGAATGGGACAGAGTATTGACAGCTCTTCCTAGACCTGGTACATTTTACAGATGATAAAATTGTGGCTCAGAGATCTTTAGAGCAAATAAAAGTGGTGCCACTGGTATTCAAACTTACACTAGTCAGACACTGACTCTTAGACTAGTATTTAGACCTTCTTTTGATTTATAGGAGGCCTGGTGGCACTGTCACACAGCTTGGACTCCCAGTCTCAAGCAGGTTCCAATCCTTGAGCTGCTCTATGAGATAAGATGAGGCATTCTACTTCCGCACAGACTCAGTTTTGGAGCAGGGGCAGTTCTACTCTGTCCGATCGGGTCACAATGAGTTAGAATGAACTTGATGGCGTTGCGTTAAAGGTTGGTTGGTTTGTTTTCAAGTCTGCTTCTGTAAAGACACTTTCAGAAACTCTAGATCGGGTCGCTATGGTGCAGAATGAACTCGGTGGCAGTGGTTGGTTTGTTTCTTTCAAAGAATCTTTTAGATTTTAATCCTGTGACTATTTTAGAGAGCAAAGAACTCAAAGAGCTCTCCATAGAAGGAAATGTCCAATCGGAGTTTTTCACAATTAATTATTATTCCAACTCAGATATTGCAGGACAAGGAGGACAGTTGCCAGGAAGGCTCTGCTTTGGCGGGGAGAGATGGAACATACAATAATAGTATGAACCTGATTTTAGTATCAGCCAAACAAAACAGGAGGAATATATGGGCATGGTGGAGACAGGAACTGGAAATCTTTCTTGGTCCAGCCCACACTTGAAGAGCATTGAGTGTGCCCCACCCCCTGGTGAATAAGCCATCTGCAGAAAACCAGGAGATCTCTTCCGCTGATAACTCCCTCCCCACACCTCCCCTTGCAAAAAACAAAACCCACAACGGCAAGCTTATTGGGACTCAGGCTTGGACCCCTCTGTCCTCTCTAGGTAGCAAGGTAGTAGAGAGAAAGGGAGGGTTGGTGGGGGGGGGGGTGTCCTGCGAGAAAGATGGATATATTAATTCATCTCAGGTAGCTTGGGAGAGTCTGGCAATGTTAGACTTTTATGTTCATTTTAATTGTTTTGATGTCTCAACTTAGTAATAAATTGTCAGTTAATCACTTTTATGCAATAATAAAAGATTCATAAAATGTTACTGCAGTTTCCTGTTCAGCACCCCTCCCCCAGCAAGGACTGTATTGAGACACATTTCATTCAGGTAAGTTGGCAGTTTTATCAGAGCAGAGAGGACACCTTGACAGTTACCCCACATGCTGCAGTAGATAATAGAAAAGGATTCCAAGTCCGAGTTCTCTCTGACCCCAAGGGCCTATCTTGCAGGAGAGGTGGCTTTGATGGCCCTGTAGAGTTTTGGTCATTGGGTGACATTATTTTTCCATTTCCAATTATAGGAAAACCCACACACATCCCTTGCCCCAGGACTGCCAGAACCAGCTAGGGTCAGTGGATGGGGTCAGTGATTCATAGGTGTGATAAAATGGGCATTCTGTATCAAAGCCAACTTGTATGGGTTTGTAGATCAGGTTTATGTGAGAATATTCTTGAATTCTTTTCAATTACTGATGAAGTCGGAATGTCCATGGGAAGCGACCACAGACAGACACTAGAAAAGCAGTCATTCCTGTGTCATGCTGCCACCCCGGACACATCTTGCTGATGTGCTGGACTTTGGGTGTCTTTGTTTAAGAGGAGAGGAGAGCCCTTTTTACCAGGTTATCACTTAGCGTAGTGATTGTCCTGGTCATTTTCAACAAGCATCTTTCTAAAGGAGCCTGGGCAGCATGATGTTAAGTTAAGCCCATCAAAATCTTGGCAGTTCAGATCCCACTGGCTCTGTGGGAGAGAGGCCTGGTCATCTGCTCCTGTGAAGATTCACAGGCCAAACTTCCTGCCACTGAGTCAAGCCTGACTCACATGATTCTGGGTAGAACTGCCCCTGTGAGGTTCGGAGATTGTACATCTTTGCGAGAGTAGAAAGCCCTGTCTTTCTCTTGAAGAATGGTGCTTTTGAACTACTGACCTTGCTGAGATTGCAGCCCAATGCAGAATGACTATCCTCAAGGCTCCTCAAAATCTCAAACTCACTGCCATTGAGGTGATGCCAACTCATGATGACCATGTAGGAAAGGGTAGAATTACCCCCGTAAGTTTCCAAGATTGTAACTCATTCCAGGAGTAGAAAGGCCCATCTATCTCCCACGGGGTGAGTGAGTGGTGATTTCAAACTGCTGATCTTTCGGATTGTAGCCCAAAAGTTAAACACCACACCACTAGCGCTCAGCCTCGAAAAGCTTGTGGGGCAGTCCTATCTGTCACCTAGAGACTCTATGAGTTGAAAATTCACCCAATGGCAGCTAATAACAAGAGCATCTCTGAGGATGTTGCAAATTCTCCAGAGACAGGAATCTTTCCTAGTGCCATCTCCCATTAAGTGCATGACATCATGCAGCTTTAGAAAGGTGAATCAGTGGTGAAATTAAACAATGATCAGGTGGTGCAACTCCAGAAATGTTGGAAATTCTTAATGTAATAAGGTCATAAAGCCACAGAGTGAAGGAAAGAGTGACCTGACTTTATGATGACTAATGCGACAATGTCAGCCCTTTGCTGGTTGCATTTGCCGAAAGAGGAAGGAGCAGAAAATAGGCAGGAAGCTGAGGGAAGGAGGGAGAGCTGCCTCAGTGGTGACAATTCTACAAGACCATCAATTAAGCTCATTATTAGTACCAGCTGTTACTTATGATTTCATTTGGTGGTGCCAAGCTGTGGTTCTACAACTCTTAAGTTGCAAAGCATTTTGTGATAGAGCTGTTTGAAAGATTCCATATAAAATTAAGCTTCCTGTTGTTGTTATTATCGTGTAGGAGCCACTTTACAGAACCAGTGTGATCATGAATTAGGAATGCAAGCTGCTAAAGAGGAGAACGAGAGAGGATATTAGTTTCAAGTCAGCCTTCTATCATCCAAGCTACCAAGAAC